TGGTGAGTACAAGAAGCACTGTGCTATTGATAAATTGTGATTTCGGGATTTTATTCGATTCGCAAGGAACGAAAATTAACTCCGGTTGGAGACGGCGAAATTTCCAGTTTTCTTAATGGCGCCGGTTCTGACGTTTTCTTGGCACGTAAAATATCAAAATCGTAAAAAAGCCAGGAAAACGTCAGATATTTCGGACTATTTCTGAATCAGTATAGGTATTTTTCTGTCTCTATTGTATATCGTCCTTTTCTGCTTCTGTTATGGTTTGCTTTTATGCCTCTGTATCCTTTTTTCTTTGGCTGTTTGCCTCTGCAGAAACCTGGTCTTCGCTTTCTCCCTGATGGGTTCAGCTATTTATTAACAAACACAACACTATTATTCAGTTAAAATTAAGTTAACACCAAGGTAATTGATGTATAAACTTAGCATGTGAAATTCAAATATCTCATTAAAGCTGGATTACACACCATCCATGCAAAGATTAACAGCCTCAGTAGGGCCAAACATAATTGCAGGAGACTCGGGTTTTTATAGTTATTTTAATTCTGTCGATGTTTTTAAGCACCTTCGACCTTTTATAATTCATAAAAACAATTTGGTGGTTTGATAAATTTGACAAAAACGTTGTTTTAATTCATGAATTGCTTTAACGTCCCTTTGAGAATTTTTCACTCACTTTGAGGCACCACCACTTGCCGGTGTGAACTGCAAATTTAATTTAGACCTCACTTGGCAATTACGGTCGTTGAGCAGTGACGCATCTTTTTCATGCCAGAACTAGCTGAGACACGGGACTTTGGTTTATACAGGCTCATCCAAAGGACTAGTACACACGTATCCTATTAGTGTGTCATTATACAAAGATGACTTAGAGGCTTTTCTTTAATGAAAGCTATTTTATTGTTTCCAGTTCCAAAGAGTGGGGATGACCCCATGGACTTGCCTCATTGTATAATTTGTATAACTGTGGCATTCCAATGATCTTTGACCCTTTTCCAACTGCAGGCCCCTAAACATTTTCATTTCTGATTATTTTACCCCATTCTAGTCGCCCTCGTGGCGCAGTGGTTAGAGCGTCTGCTCTAGAGTCGCGGAGTAGGAGTTGATCCTTAGTCCGGGTTTCAATCCAGTGCGGGACGTGGATACCAGTCCTTTGGATGAGACTATATAAACCGAGGTCCCCAATCGAAACTCGGGCCTTTCCGAAAAGCGGAAAACAACCTTGAATGTGTTACATAGGCGTCCATGACAACCCCCCTTTTCATAAACTTTGAATCAAATGTAGGGAGACCTTTTATCTGTAGAGTTTGGAGCTCAACTTAATTGAATGTAAAGATATTACCTAAAATATACTTCAGGAGTGACTTTTAACTCTGTCTTTCCAATGCTTTAATAAATACATAGGAACCGACTCCATCTTGTATAGTCGCCCGCGTGGCGCAGTGGTTAGAGCGTCTGCTCTAGGGTCGCGGAGTAAGGAATTGATCCTTGCGTCGCGGGTTCGAATCCCACTGCGGGACGGGAAGACAAGTCCTTCGGATGAGACCGTATAAACCGAGGTGCCGTGTCGCAGTAGGTGCTGGCACGAAAAAGATTCCTCACTTCTCAATGGCCTTAAGTGCCGAGTATAGGTCAAAATTTGTAGCCCTCCACCGGCAAGTGGTGGCGTCTCCATATATGGTAGTGTTTCCATATGAGTGAAAAATTCTCCAAAGGGACGATAAACAACATACAAACAAGCAAACAAACCCCGTTCTATACTAAACTTTTAAAATAATATATTTATAATGTACTTACCGCCTGTTATAGGTACTGTTAACTTTATAGAATAAAAAATCCATTAAAACACACACTTAATATTAATATTCCCCCTGGTATTAATGATGTACATACACCATGTGCAATCCAATAATGATAACGGTAGAAGTAGTGCTTGCAGTGTGACGTAATTCCATGCACGGGTCTAGAAATTTTTGCAAACAGATGTACATTGCAGAATTTATAATATAATTACATACAATGTTTATATGTGTTATCTATTCCAAATATGACAGGAAAACATATGAATCGTGGGTAGAGGTTGATTTTTGACAAAGTTGATCTGGTCAATGTTAGGATTTCTTCAAGTCCTACCCAAGTAATGATAAAAATTTGCACTAGTTGTCATTTTGGCATCTTTTTTTTTTAAGTTCATCAAAAAAGGTATGCACTAAAATTATAATATCTGTAGTTTTGACAATAAGTTCGAATTATTGGCCAAAAATTAACTTCTCCCTTTTTCTTACACAAATCTTTCAAAAATTCTGCTTAGCAGAATTTACCTGATTAAATTATGTAATATCAGACTGGTAATGAAATATTTACACAGGAGGCCCATACGGCCGAGTTGCAAGTTCACCTGAGCATTTTATGTTTGATTTAAATGTGTGCTGCTTTAATTGTCCATGGTTATCAGAATTTGGAGGAGAGTACATTTAAAGGCAAACACCTTAGTGCGGGTATTCCTGTCTTATGACAGCATCTAGTTCCTTTTTATGCTTGTCTGCACTATGCGAGTTTTTGTTATCCTTTCTTTTATACAAATTATATTGATTCGCAGCTAGGCATAAATGAAATGCAATATCGATGAAAACTGCATTTGAAAAATACGCTTCGAACGTTTTATATATACTTATGGGATAAAATACATGAACGCTTATCTCTAAAAAGGTTTATTTTCATTGGAAGCCGGAAACATGCAAATCAAAAAACTTTTCAGATTCACTATTACCACAATTAATATTATTTTATGTTGCAATGGAAATTTGGACAGTTATTCTACATTACAATATGGATACAGATTACATCAGAGAATGATAGAATATTACATGAACTATAGTATACTGGACTGTGTAGAAGAATGTTTAAGAACTAAAAGGTGCAAATCGGTGAATTATTACAAAGGAGCAAACTTTTGTGAAAATAACTTTGAAAATAATATAACGGCACCAGCATTGTACAGACAAAGCCCGGGTTGGATATACACCGCCATTGAGAACTGGAATAATGTAAATATATACTTGCAAATAACATTTTTTGTCTTCTCAAAAAAATTATTAAAAAGTGAATTTTTTAAGGGTACTTAAAAAGTTATCATAATTATGCAATTATGTTTGATAAACTGTTTTGGAAAGACAATGTAATAGGGTGGGAGAAAAGAGAGATAGAGCTGGAATTGAATCTACACATGTATAATATAAGCTATATTTACTTCCTCCTTGCATATATAGAGGTCTTTTCTTTTTTTCAGAAATCTGCAAATTAAGACAATCATTTTATAATTGACTGAACTTTTCTAATCATTTCTTACAATTGCTTATTTCCTTTTTTAAAAGTATTTAGTCTTTATATGTTATGGTGTCTTTTCAAAACATTATTATGGCTCAATAAGTCGTCCATAAAAGACATCAAAAATTATTGAATAGTTTGAGCACTTTCTTTATAGTTGAAATTAATATGTTTTGAAATAAATGCTTTAAATGAAATATATGGAGATAACGAACAGTCTTCAAGCTCGAAAGTCCATTATACAATACAAAATAGGAGCAGAGCAAACACGGACCTCCAAACATCAGAGGTGGGATCAGGTGCCATGGAGGAGTGAGCATCCCCTGCCGACCGGTCACACCCGCCGTCTGCTCCTTGTCATGATCGGGAAATAACGGAAAAATCCGTCGACAATTCAGTGTGTAAATAATGGCCTAACAATTAGTATGAAAAACGTCAGTCAGCATTTGACTCAATAAATTGTACTTGCTGACAAGGTCATTGTATCGACCATAGAACTTACGAAATGTTGACTTTAAACGAGACTGCTGATATTCTTGTTTATCAACTTATTTGTCAATAATTTACCTCGTTTTAGAAATTGTACATACGTAGAGCATGCTCTTGCGCATCGAATCAACTGAGAGATATATACCCCGTATGCAAGTGATGAAGGTATATTGCTGCATAAGTAAGGGAAGTTGACGATTGAAAAGTTAAAGTCATCACGTTTATCATAAAGCTTGGTTGTTAGATTACCATTAACGTCTTTTTCAAGTAAAATATCCAAATATGAAACAGATGTGTCAGACTCTGTGGTATCTTTTATCTCAAGTTCACCAGGATATATCGTATCGACATAAGAATGAAAATAGCCATTGTTAATTGACAATACGTCGTCGATATATCTAAATGTCGAGTTGAACGCCAAGCAAGTGTTTTCTTCTTTTCACGTACAAGATTTTGGACAAATTCTGCTTCATATGAATACAAAAAAGGTCTGTTAATAACGGGGCGCAATTGGTACCCAAAGGAATTCCAATAAATTGTTGGAAGACCTGGTCTCCAAAAACCACATAGATATTGTCAATCAGAAACTCAAGCATCTTTTTAATGTCAACTTCAGAGTACTTGTGTGTACAATCAGAGTGTTTTTTAACAAAATAATTTTGCAAATGGCCAATGACAAGGTAAGTATATTTACGAGTTCCTTTTTTATTGAAAAAGCAGTGAGGTAAATATGATATTGCTAATGACGCCATTTATTGTTCAAATATTTATTCACTTATGATTTCTTTTCAAGATGATAACTAGTTTGAACAATGTTATTTATTTATAAATTCAGTTACATTAATCTTGTCTTAGATATCTGTGATTAATCTTAGATGTTAGTCAAACTTCTCGTCAAATAATAATTCATTATTTTCCAGACCTTTATTACAACAGTTCGTCTTTCAAGCTGGTGGTGGGGGTATATACAAAGAATGTTGATGTCTCCTTTAACTCCGCACTCGCAGAATCTGCACCAACCTACAAAAATATCTAAATTATTAAAATCTAATTTATGTTTCCATCTGTTAAAAAAATTCATTCGTTAAAAATTTCAGGGTCACATGGAGACTTGCTCATCAGCATTATCCTGTGCAATCAATGAAAAATGCATACAACAACCATTAGGGAATTACAAGTGCGTCATGTCGGGTAAGACCTCAAGCATATCAATTTTCACTGTTTTTAGAAAAGAAAATCGATAATACATTAATGTACTTTGACAAAAAAAATGTCTTATGTCCCCCGCTTTCACTGAAAGTGTGTGTGTGTGTGTGGGGGGGGGGGTATTAATTTTGGTTTGTCCGTCTTACATCTGCCTGTCATTCTGTCTGTGTGTCACTTTCATTTCCGAACGATATCTCAAAAAACCTTTGAATTTTTGGAATGATTTTTATATCGCAACTCGTCGCCCGCGTGGCGCAGTGGTTAGAGCGTCTTCTCTAGAGTCGCGAAGTACTGAGCTGATCCTTACGTCGCGGGTTCGAATCCACTGCGGGACGTGGAGACCTGTCCTTCAGATGAGACCGTATAAACCGAGGTCCCGTGTCGCAGTAGGTGTTGGCACGAAAAAGATCCCTCACTGCTCAATGGCCCTGAGTGTCGAGTATAGGTATAAATTTGCAGTTCTCCACCGGCAAGTCATGGTGTCTCCATATGAGTGAAAAATTCTCGAAAGGGACGTTAAACAACATTCAAACAAACAAAATATATCACAACTCCCCATGGCCTTAAGAAGACCCCTGTTGATTTTTAGGTCAAAAGGTCAAGATCAGAAACTCATACATTCTATCTGTATGTAACACTGATTTCCAGACATTTCAAAAAGTCTTTCAGCTTTTGCAATAAAATTTTGTATCTTTACTTCTAAGGGCCTAAGAAGGTCCCTATTGATTCTAATTTAAGGACCAGGTAAGATATTCATACATTGCAAAAAATGGTTTCCAAATAAATTTAGTTTAGCTTTATCAATAAAATTTCATATAAGTCTTAGTGACTTAAAAAGACCTTTATTGATTTTTAGGTCAACTTAGGAAATTCCTACATTGCAAAAATGGCTCCCATATGATAACTAGTTTCTTTTGAGCTTTTTTCAACGATTGATTGATTGATTGTATGTTGTTTTACGTCGTATTCGATAATATTTTTCACTCATATAGAGACGTCATAATATACCGGTGAAGGGCTTCAAATCTGGACCTTGGCACTCAGGGCCATTGAGCAGTGAGGGATCTTTATCGTGCCATACATCGGTTTTTAAGGTCTCATCAAAGGACTCACAACTTTCACTTCAAAGTGCCGAGCGCTTGGCGAAGGAGCAGTTACTACCTATTTTTTTTTTATCGACTTCGGTCAGTCGTGGCCGTGATTCGAACACACGACCTTCCGATCACGGAGTGAGCTCTCTACCGACTGAGCTACCGTGACGGTGATTTTTGTTATAAAAGTCTTTTATAATACTTTAAAACTTTAGTAACTTTAGTTTCTGTAAGCTTTTGCAATGAAACGTAAGGTCATGGATTTCTTAAATTTACGAAAAAAAAAACCTATTGATTTTAAGGCCAAAAGCTAAAGGTCAAGGTATACCATCTGCATTTTGTCCAGGTCTCCATTCCCAGAATTATCTCGTTAAGATACTTTTCTCATAAAAAAAATTATAGGGTTCATCTTGAGTAATGTCAAGGACATTTAAAGAAAACAGGAAAAAACACTCATTACAGATAAAAGCTTTCACGTAAGCTAGGGAAATATTTGGATTCAAAACGAGAATCTTGCTATTTATTGGAGAGTATGATTAAAGAAAATATGATTTTACACAAACACGAAAGTAGATATATCGTCACTAATGCTTTCTGAATCTTTATGAACATTTTAATTTTGCGATATATGGAAAAACCACCAAATGAAATACTTTATCGGCAAAGCATTAACAAACTTCATTTCATGCTAGGGTGTTTCCTATTTAATCAGTGCAGGAGGGACATTCTAAGTGAACGTCTAGGTCCTGTAGAACTTTCAGGTAATCGATATAGATTAACATTTTAATGAACTTCAAACCAAGGCAATTTCATTGCATACATAATTTAAAGACTCGCACTTGATCGATAGAATTGTATTTTTCATTATTGAAACTTTTAATACTAATAAATCAGATCTTTTACATGCCTGGGAATTCTATACAGTCATTATGTGTTTAATAATTGATTCACCTTGTAATGAAATCACTCTATATCCGGACACGTAGTATCAGCCTCTCCCCCCATTTTTTTTTTTCCATTTTTTTTTTAATTTTGAAAAATGTTCATTAAAAGGCAGGTTACCCTTTATTTTTTGTTGTTGCAGGATCATATATAGAATGCACATGTATGAATAAAATTTTGTTGTGAGAGAAGTCACTACAATAAAAAGTGACCAAATACGTTCAGATGTTTTGTCTTTAGTAATATTTGAATGAAAATTTAAATTTCAATATGAATGTCGTTCAACAGAGTTATGAACTGTGCATAAATTTTTGCAATCTTTTGTCCAAATTCATTAAACTTGACAAAAATAAACTTCGGTCAAGGTTTTAATTAAGGTCAACCATCAATTCATGAGTTATCTTCATTTGGAATATCGACTTGTAATATTTTTGCTAGCAAAAGGGTTATAAGCTGAACATAAATTCTATTTTTTCCGACCGGTGATCTTGAGATTGCCCAAATGACGTTGACTCTAGCTCATTGAACACCTTCTGGAATTTCTTGATTCTAAAAAGGGGGAGTGCTGGCAATTTTTATTATAAAGTCATTTTTTTTTTCTTATCATGCATTTGCAGTTCAGAATATTTAGTTCCGACACGTCCATGAATCCAATAGTCATCCCTTTCATTATTTATTTGAATTTTTATTTTCAGAGAGAAATTAAAAGTTAATTTTGCTCGCAAAGAAGAGATTGATACCTCAAAAGTTGTTAATAAGAATTAAAAAAAAAACATCAGGGAGGGTCAGCTACAATTTTGTTAAATAGTATTTGCTAAGACTTTTTTTACTCTATTGATAAAACTCACCGACATGCAGGTTGTATTTGCAAAAAAGATCATAATAACGACCGTACAAGTTGTAAAATGCTGACTTTAAATGAGGTAATATTCGAACAGTCTTGTCAATCAAATATGAATACTAAAATATTAAATACTATAACAAAATCTTGAAAACGTGAAGTTTTGCCATAATCAACCTCATCAAAATGTATGACATTTAAACACTATTATACAACCGTTCTTCAAGATTGATTTTGACGTACATGAAAGAGACAACGGCTTCTTCAATATATAAATGAAATTAACAAATTTACATATCTTAATGTTTATCTACAAACTTTCCTTTTAAAAAGCTATTCTGAGTCGGCACACAAGTACTCCGAGATTAATAGGAAAAACATGCTCTAGTTCCTCATTGGAAATATCTATGTAATCACGGGGACCAGGTCTTCCAACAATTTGTTGGAATTCTCACGGGTACTAATTATACCATAATAAGATAATAAGCATAATATATAATTTAATTATTCAAGCAGACCTGTTTTTTTTTCATTCTTATGAAACTGGTTTTATTCAAAAGCTTTTTCATGAAAAGAAGTCTCTCGCTGCGACCTAATACTGGACATTAAGATATGTCGAGTGTGCTTTACGAGTTATCAATATTCATTTTCATTCATGCAATGATTCAGCATATACCACTGAACACGAAATAAAGGACACCAACGAGTCTGACACCTCTTTTTCATACTTGGGCTTTTTGCTAGAGGAAGACATTAATGGCAAGATAACAACACTTTATGAGAAACGTACTAAGAAAGAATTTTTCAACCAGGCAGGCTACTTTCAAATAAGTTGAGAATACAAGGGTATCAGCAATCTCATTTGTAAGTTACAACATTTTGCAAATTTGTTGGTCGATACAATGACCGTATTTGCAAATGCAATCTATTATGTACCGTTAGGTGAAATGTCTACTGACGTTTTCGCATACTAATTGTTAAGCCATTTTTTTTCAAATAATTCTCCCAATTAATTACCCAACAAGACAAGAACCTCATGACAGTTGTGACCGGTTGGAATGGGATACGTACTCCTCCATGACAACTGATCCCACCTCTGATGTTTTCAGATGTACGTGGTTTTGCTACTCTTAATACTGTTTTAATAATTGTTTAATTTGACTTTTGCGCATGATTGCCGTTCATTTTCCTCACATTAATAAGATTTAAAAAAAAAAAAAAAAAAATTGAAATGAAAGCGATTTCTTTTAAGTATATCTCATCCCACGATTAAATTATATCGATATGAAAATACCCAAAAAATAAGTACCCTAACAAATATAAAAAATCAAACTAAAGTTAACTATAGTTAACTATAGTGATAACTTGACACTGTGAAACCTTTTATTTGATATAGTGATAAATTTGACACTTTGATTTACTATAGTGATAACTATGAAAACTTTGATTTACTATGGTGAAAACTTTGATTTACTCTAGTGATAAATTTGAAAACTTTGATTTACTATAGTGATCGCTATGACACTACAGTGATAACTTTGAAAACTTTGATTTACTATAGTGATAACTTTGACACTTTGCTATAGTTAACTATATATAGTAAACTATAGTTAACTATAGTATTTTTTTGTTAGGGTACTTCCGTAATGTTATTTTCACTGCAAAACTATTTTCTTATTATCAGATTATTTGTAAACCAAATGACAACCATGCAAACAAGTCGTTTTGATGATTTAACGATGTTTTTGTAGCCTTTTTCAAATATGTTCAACGAGGGTAGTACATATCGTCACCGGCGACAATATGTATCGTCACAATCGCGCTTCATGAAATGGCCTTCGAGACAAGTCTGTGTGATTTAATCACCAATTACATTCACAAATATAAAAAAAGAAATCCTTAAGCAACCCTAACCGTGGGGTGACATCATGTTCAGGAAGGTGCTCAAATAAAGTCGCCAGAGACAAAATGTACATGCATAATTTTTCAGCCGGCGACAATATGTGTCAATGGAAGACAACGTGTGCAGTGAGGAGAGGCGCATATTGTCGCTGACATTATGTACAAAACGACAAGTACCGTCATAGAGTTTGATGCATGACGTGTCAACAAGGATCACCATGTACACAAATGTAATCAGTATAATTATTTATTTATGTTTATTATCATACCTGAACTGCAACTTCCTCTATCCCAATACACTACGGTCAACGCGGATCCCGTATTTTCCCGCGCCCCCGCGATGGTGTTTTAATCCTTTCCGCGATACACCGTCGCGGTTTTATCATCGCGGTGATCGCGGGGACACGAGATTACCGTGACGGTGTGCTATACCGTATTTTACTCAATGTGAAGTCGATAATCCTTAATGTTAAAGTAAGGCTATTTAATTGTGAATATATAAGATCGTTTTTTTTTTAATTTGGCTCAAACATGTTAAAGTCATATATGGCGTATTTCTGATATCAGGCTTACTAAAATTAAAAAGATCTTTCTATTTGTTTTATTACCGTATATAAAGATAGGACTTTCCTGTAAATTACACAATTTAAATCAATCGCGTTTCATAGATATTAGAAATTTAAAACAAAATCTCGATTTTTTTTTTATTTTTTAGCTCAGATACGCTATATGTAGCTTTAAAATTATCGAAATAATTTATAAAATCTTAATTTTTTAGTCTAAAGGGTGATATTTGAATGATACTTGGCATTTATTTTATCAAAATATTATCATTGCTGTTTTTCTAATAAGTATAACCTGCATTATAATGAAAAGATCTATAACTCAACATAATTTTTTTTTATTGTAGTAAATATCGATCCGATTTATATTACGCCTTTTTTTCATCATAATAGTTTTTTCATACAGTATTACTGCAGTTTTTTTTTTTCCGAATTGAAAATTGCATTGTGTATTTCACTGGGAAAAAAATAATAAAATGAAAATACAAAATATCACGCCAAAATACCTCTTCCAACATGTTCAAATATTATTCATTTACAATAATCCCGAATATTTGAATTAACGATATTGATCACCACCTAATTTGTTAGAATTATGGGCCTGAATGAAAAAAAAAAAACCAGCTCTGTTCATCATGTTCATATATTCTAAAAGAATTAAGTCGACATTAGTCTTTCTATAAAGCTAAAAGAATTAAATGGTTGCGTTCTCAGCTGATAATTAAGCAGAGAAGTCATGAACTAAATAAGTTGAAACTGACCAAACACGTGTACATGTATTACACAATCACAGCGTGTGCAGTGGGGCGTAGCTAATCCTATCGGTCGCCCACAGTTAGACTATGGGTTCTCGGAAAATTTACGAGATGATCAAGCCCTCCTACGATAACCGTGTTTTCAAGCTGTAAAAATTGCATTTATATATACCATATTTCAGTAGCTAGTCTTGATCAAAATCACCCATCATATATATAACTGTAGGTAATAACAACTGATCAAACAGCAATCCTGAAATCACAAAAAGCGTATAAAGAATTAAAAAAAAAAAAACAATAAAAGTCTTCTTTTTTATTGGTCGGCGATCTTCAAAAACTTGGGACTGTCAGAGTAATTATTGAAACCAAAGAGAAAGGTTTCACGAAACTGAAACTTTTAAATCATTTAAGTGAGTGGGTGTTAAATTACACAGTTTAATTTTGGGTAGAGAAACATGAGAATTAGTTTGTAGTGTGTGTGTGTGTGTGGGGGGGGGGGGGGTTAAGAATAAAAATCTAAAATATTTCAGGAAACTTGTCTGTATGTATATGTTTACACTATACTGTATATATTTATTTGATCAACACACTTCATAAATGCCCAAAATGTACATAGCATATCTTTAGAAAATAATCAGTAAATATGAACAGTCTGATTAAAACCAGCCCCCCCCCCCTTCTCCTATCGTTGTCGATATGTAAATATGAGATACTTATTAAATCTATTTTTCTATATCATATTAATGCACAACACTTGCTGTTTGTTCAAACTTTCAAATTCTGGAGGAATTCTGATGTTGTATATGAATGAATGGAAAATTTTGTATAAAATAATTTGCTACTTCTAGAATGGACAAATTATTTTATAGTTTGCGATGTATTTCAAGTTTTACGAAGCAGAGTCCTATTCAATATGAATGCAAAATTTTGCATGTCCAGGTATGCAATACAGGTAAATCACATCTAATCTATTGTTGTGCAGAGGTATGTGTATATGTATTACATAACACTTCCTGTCTGTGTCAGTGCCAAGGTTGTGCGTACTACCAGGGACCTATATACTATATACTTAGTATATAGGTCCCTGGTACTACAAACTCGAATCTAGCCCGGGGGCACATAGAACCTTCTGTTCCAATTGTATTTCATCAGTGTAAATTAAATTTCAAAATCGAATGTTGCATATTTGCACATGCTGTAACATCCTCTGAGCTATTAATAACGTTTTTTGCCTGTAATTTAAGGTAAATAAATTTAAAAAAAAAACCCGTAAATTCAGGGAGGGGTATCACATGCATGAAGATAATGTGTGATGCCCAGAACATGGGAAGGCAGTCACTAGGGTAACCGTCACTAGAAAAGAATCAACTAATGAAAACTTAAACTAACTTTGAATCAGTTTTGATTTTTTGAAGTATCAGGTGATTATAGACCGAAAATTAATTAAATTTTCAAATCAAAATAGGGTGAAGCTTGCTATTTACGTATAAACATGTATCTAAAGTAAATTAAAGTTTGAATGATAATATTTATAGACAGGATAGATATTTTTTAAAAGATATTTTACACCCGAATCATAGTTTGTTTGTAATACCTGTATAAATACCGTACAAAGCGCACTAGATTAGAAGTCATGAAAAAGTCTAGTACATGTTGTACGTTCATACGTACTTTTTCAAGTTTAAAATTTTCAAGGAAACTTGAATTACGAATAAGGAATACAGAAAAAATATCCATTCCTTTGAAGATTTTATTCTGAGCGCCTTTTTTTTAAATATTGCGACTATTTTACGTATTTAAAATGGTTAAATGAAGGAAAAGTTGTTTTCATTTGACAATTAAATCATTGAGTTATCGGATGATCAATAACTGTGATCTACAAAATTAATGCATAGGAATAATTACGGATAAGTTGAGAACAATAAATGAACACGCAATATATAAATGTATATACATGTATATATATATTTAGTTGTCTCCATATCATGCATTCTTCCTTTCCCTTTTTTTTTTTTTTTTTTTTTTTTTTTTTTTTTTGAAAAAGGCGTGAAAGGCGTGAAATAAAAAGATAAATTAATCAAATATAAAAAGGAGACCTAAATATCTGCTAAGACTGGTTTTATCCTTTTAATTTTTTTTACTTCTCTGTTGTGTTTGTTTTTTTGTCGGGGGAGGTAACTCGCGTTTATGAAGAGAATAATTTTTTCACCTGAGACGGATAACGCAAACCGCGATGGTGTGGATTAGTTGAGAACCCGTACCGCGAGAACACGCGGTTTTACCTGAGTTACCTGTGTTAAACCGCGATCAATTTCACACCGCGAGGACTCGCGGTAAATACGGAAACCGCGTTGACTGTAGTGTATGTATCAATCAAAGAGTTAAAAATCACTACTTTTCCTCTTTATTCTGGAAGGTATTGTTTATAGTCCTTTTGCCTGGTCATCTACATAAAGATGTATTTCTTTTCAGACTGTGGGATACCCATTGGTATACAAAATACCGCGTGGGATGTACAAGGTGGGGACGGGATAGGAATATATAAACAAATGCACATGAAATGTTATTCGTTTGTACAGAGAAGATCCGGAAGATTTTTGTGTCTTGGGAATGGAACCTGGAAATCGGACTTGGCTTGTCAAGGTACTGAATTATCTGTTTGAGCACTAGGATTTAAAAAAAAATACTTCATAATTTTTAATTTATGTGGAAAGATAATTAAGAAACCCGATTTTAGTTCGATAGGAAGTCATTTCGAATTTCTGGATTCTTAAGGATCTTAAATATCCCCTAGAAAAGCTTATTACTTGTCGTCAAAATATTCATGTGTTTTGAATACAATTAAAATGCAATCTTCCAAGTAATGTGCAATGACTTGTTAGAAGTAAAACGAAGGTAAGTGATAAAACTTCACTATTATAAAGTTTATGATCTCCATAATATATTATTCTATATGAGTACACTCAGTTTCCTAAGAATACACGATTCTTCCAGGCGCGGATCCAGGAATTTTTTTCCGGGGGAGGGGGGTGGGGGTGGGGGCAAGTCCAAAAAAAAATATTTCTTGACCAAACACACACACCACAAATTCATTTTTAAAACGTGAAAAAAAACCCTATTTGGTAGTGAGGTCCATTATTTGGACATTTTATTCTTTGAATATATGCGCTTAAGTGTTGGTGATGCTTTATATTATTATCATATCTTAATCAGGGCTCCGCTCTGCGGGTGCCCTATAGTGATCAGTCTGTCCGTCCGTCCGTCTGTCCGTCCGAGATCTCTTGTCCGGAGCATATCTTCTCTCTCCTTGGCCCAATCTGGCTCATACTTCACCCACAGAGTGTCTTTATGTAAAGGGTGTGCAGTGACCTTGAACCATGTTTCTAGGTCAAACGTCAAGGTCATAGCAGAATTGTATGAAAAATCCTTGTCCGGAGCATATCTTCTCTCCTCTTGGTCCAATGTGGCTCATACTTCACTCACCCAGTGCCACTGGTCAATGGATGTGCAGTGACCTTAAACGAAGTTTTTAGGTCAAGGGTTAAGGTCAAAAATAGCCTCTCTGTTTAAAGTCTTGTACGGAGCTTATTTTCTCTCTCCTTTGCCCAATCTGGCTCATAGTTCACCCCTAAGAGTGTCTTTGGGTAAAGGGTGTGCAGTGACCTTGAACCATGCTTCTAGGTCGAAGGTCAAGGTCATAGAATTATATGAAAAATCCTTGTTCGGAGCATATCTTCTTTCTTTTTGGTTCAATCTGGCTCAAACTTCACTCAGAGTGCCACTGGTCAATGGATGTGCAGTGACCTTGAACGAAGTTTCAAGGTCAAGGTCAAAAATACCCTCTCTGTTTAAATTTTTGTCCGGAGCATATTTTCTCTCTTCTTGGCCCAATCTGGCTCATACTTCACCCTCAGAGTGCCTTTGGGTAAAGTGTGCAGTGACCTTGAACCATGTTTCTAGGTCTAAGATCAAGGTCATAGCAAAATTATATGAAAAATCGTCGTCCGGAGCATATCTTCTCTACTTTTGGTCCAATGTGGCTCATACTTCACTCACAGATAGCCACTGGTCAATGGATTTGCAGTGACCTTGAACAAAGTTTCTAGGTCAAGAGTCAAGATCAAAAATAGCCTCTCTTTTTGAAAGCTTTGTTCGGTGCATGGTTTCTCTCTCTTCAGCCCAGTCAGCCTCAAACTTTACCAATTGACTTAGGGTACGGAACATTTGTTATTTTCCTTCCATATTTTGATAGAAGATATGCAACAGTTTTCATAGAGGATATCCAACATTCGTGATTTTTGTGCCGCTTTTTGATAGAGGGTATGGAGCACTGGTGATTTTCATGCCATTTTTTATTATAACAAGGATGACATAGAAGCCCTTTAGACTCAAACAACACATCCATTAATAGTACACAAGTATTCCTCTTCAAAATAAACCCTTCTCAGCTACCTTACATTTTCATGTTCGTTGCTGAAAGCGGGACCCTTTGAGATGGCCACCATCTCAATGATATCTAGTCATTTTAGTTATTTATAGTTTATTTATCAATGACAGTTAAATAAATACAATATATTACTTTAGTATGATGTTATTTTTTGGCAATATTTAGTTGTAATTATATGTCATATTGAATTAAAGTGTATTTCCCATGGGCTTCACTTGAAATACTGGTTATAAATTATGCCTTCATGCTTATAAATTTTATATGGATTATAGTGTTAATATCATCACAAGTTTTATCTGCTAAAATGCATGAAAATACTGTCATAATCATTCAAAGAAAATAATTAGCAAATGAAAATGAATTTAGAAAAGCCATATTTTAGATTAAAATAAGAAAGGATGCAACATAATATTTCGTTCTGGTCAAAATCCCGCCCTAACAATCCTGGTCTGTCTGGCAAAAACCGTGCCATTTTCTTTATACATAATTTATTGCTTTGCTTGCGTCCATATTCTTCAGGATGCAATGTCGGCATTCCGTTTTCTGTTTCAGTTATTTCTATAGATTGTAAGGACCTCCATGATAATGGTCAGACTAATTCAGGTGTGTACGAGATTTATCCCTTTGGTACCAGCTCCCGTCCTGTCAGAGTTTACTGTGATATGGAGACAATGGACGGAGGGTGGACGGTATCTAGTTTATTTACAAAGCTTCAGACTTGGCATAAGAAATGTACATTGGTATCTGTAATTTTGAAGTTTAAATGACTTATAATAGTCAGGAAATTTACCCCAGCTTTGATAATATTTTCATGAAATCCAACATGATAATTGGTTGACCTCTGTGAAGGGAGGGGGTTTAATAATGGGAAATCACACGGTAAATACGTAGTTGTTTCTTTGTAACACATACCAGGTCAACGTCAATTAGAGTTATCTCCTTCTTTTGTAATAAAATAGAAATGGAATGGTTAGACTCAGAATCAGATGAAATTAAAAAACAGCAACAACAAAATTAGATTAATGTAACATGCTATAGACACCGGAATATGTACACCATCGCTGGGGTAAATTCATTTTATAGTCATTTAGTGACCGGATACGAGATTATATCTGGTTAGGTATTTAATAATACACATTCCGAGTCTCTTTTCATTACAAACTTTTCGTACAGATTTTCTTCATGATAATACATGTACAGGAATGAATGTATGTCTTTTGAAGGGAATCCAAAAACGTGTTGATGGATCCCTAAGCTTTGACAGGACATGGACAGAATATAAAAAAGGATTTGGTGACCCGGATCAGGATGTTTGGATCGGTAGATATAAATCATAAATAATATTCACTCCGATCTAATATTTGTACTTGACAAATGATATTTGAAGCAACATATCAAAGATTATATGGACTGTGCAATTTGTTTTTTTGGCAAAATTACATTACTATGCTTTTGAATTTAGAGATAATTGTTTTTGACCAAACAGGAAAAGTATGCACCGTTCTCAGGTTTGACGCGATGTTTAAGTATCGGGTTAATGTGTGGGTTATAAATATATGGTCCTCTTCGTTGTCTACAGACTGACTACGGAGTAGAGTGGCGTTTAGTTGCGTAGCCGCAATAATTTTGTAGCCCTCTCCGATTTTTTTTTTTTGGAGAGGGCTACAACTCCTTAGGATCTCCGTAATGATGCAAGTGCGGGAGTGATTCACTCCCGCACAGATTTCGGCTCAAACTACCAGTAAGTGGGTATTTTATTAACATATCTTACCTGAACTCATAAAATGTAGTTATGCAAGACATGAATTGATCCAAAAATATACAGAACAATCCATCTATCGGTTATTTTTCGTGTATGTCAACATCACAACTTGAATTAATCCGCCATTTTTTCTGACCTTGATCGATTTTATTTTGGGACAACCAATGAGAATTCGGGATCTAGGGGAGCATCCGTTTAGGATTTCCCTATTATAAGCAAAAATATCACTGCTTATGAGAAAAATATCACATAGAATCCTTATGTATCGATGTTCGTTGATATCGTACAACATAAACATTTATTAACCTCGACATTTACTTTATCAAGTGATTCTAAATTTCAAGCGCAAGTCTCAGTACATCACGCGAGAACCGTCATGGCAGCTGAAAACGACTGGAAAACAAGCACATTTAGTTTACTTGATTTTCGCGTATAAAGGGCTTTGATGTTGATAGTGAATAAAAATTCCGTCTTATTGGAAGTAAGTTGAATGCAAAAACAATTTATTTTGCCTGCAGTCGCCCGTATCTAAAAAATATATTTGCACTATTACGGATATGCAGTTGAATTTTAGCCATCTCCTGAAAATAGATTAAAAAAATCGGAGAGGGCTACATTATTGCAACTAACACTTGCGGTATCTAGTCGAATTTCAAGAGAGGTATGGATCGCAGTTGGTCAACGATTGGACGATAGCATTTCATCTTTCTGTACTTTAACATATTAAAAAAACACCTGCCTGACACTTCTTTATTATTTCATAAATTAAAAAAAATGTTAAACCGTCAACAATAAAGACTACTTGCTTTTATTGCCTCAGTAAGGTTCCATCTCGATCGCTTTCATTGCCGTAGTTGATGCACAGAATTAGTTTCTTCATGTGCACAGTGGAGGCAATGGTACATGCTCTAACTCTAATGCAGTAATCTGCTATGACTGAAAAGAACACTGGAAGATGACACGATTGAATAACAGTCGCGTGATCCTCTATCCAACGATGGTGAGCCTTTCGGCTCTTAAGTTTTAGGTGACGTTGCCTATGTACTCAAAACTTGAATAACGGAGCCACTGCCTATTAGAAACATGCAAGTTGGAAGGAAACTTCAAGTACAGAATATTTGAAGCTAGATTATGGTGGAAAATACAATATTTCTCAAGATTTTGGTGTCTTCTTACTAGAATGGCTTCGGAATCTGCAAGAGTACGCACTATCGGTTTATCGTGCGTCCTTTCAAAATTTCTCTGTTTGAGGCAACCTAATGCAGACATGCCGCTAGACCTGCTTAAAACTAAGACAGACATGATGCCTTCTTCATCATGGACAGAGCCGGTCCTTACATCTAAGGAGACGCTGATAAGGATGCTTCATCTTCCGATATCTGTTCGCTACAGACAGCTGAAAAGCTGATCTTTTTGCTTTCCTCTCCTTCGTAGTATTTTGTCTATAATAACAGACCTACAACACCTATTTCTATATAAAATACATCTGTTCGGCAATTGTGAATATGTGATCAATGCAATTTCTTCGAACGACACCGAGACTCCGTTATTTTTTTTTTTTTTAATTTTATTTATTACTTTTTTAGCAAAGTTTTGTTTTACTCACCAAGTTCTATAGAAAGAATACTGATATTGTGTGTAACTACGCGAAGTCGAATTTGGCGTATTGTTGCGATGTCTGCTCAGTGCAATCAAGGCGTTTGCTGTACGATTATGGAGTGTACGGTATCAGAATACGTTTAAATCTTATCGCAGACTACATCGCAGAAAATAATAAATTAACATTTAATTTTTCTTGCGATGCTTTTGTGTCCTGGTCAATTAGATCAAGTTGCAGTCTCATTCTGGCTCGGTACCGTACGAACGCTGCATCAAACCACGATGAACACAGCATATATGAGCACGGGTTAACTAAAAAAAAAAAAGATACAATCTCTAATGACAATATAATCAACCACAAATTATACATTTTTACATTTAAAGTGTGAGTTATAAATGGAACAAATCTGGAATGTTTGATTTTATAGTTGAGAAAAAAAATGAATTGCATTCATTGTCAATTTCCAAATATGTCTTAATGCAGGAAATGACGTAATCCATCTGTTAACGAAGGGAAAGAACTCATCCCTTTACGTTTCCATCACACTAGTGGATGGTAGCAGACTGTATGCGTTGTACGATCAATTCTCTGTTTCCAATGAAGAGGACAAGTATCGACTCTTTCTGGCGGGGTTCTTCGAGGGAAGCTTGGGTAGGTAACAGGTAGAATGAGTACCTTACAGACAAGTGTGGATAGCTGAGAGAAATACGAAGGAAAAATATCAATTATTTTTGCACAAGCTGTGTAAAATACTCATACTTAAGTATTAACAACTGAGCAGATTGATTGATTGATTGAATGTTTTACTTCCGGTTCGAGAATATTTTACTCATATAGAGACGTCACCATATACCGGTGAAGGGCTTCAAATTTAGACCTTTCCTCGGTAATCAGGACCATTCAGCAGTGGGGGTTCTTTTATCTTGCCAACGCCTTCCGTGACACGGGATTTCGGATTTTATGGTCTCATCCGAAGGACCCACAACTTTCACTTCAAAAAGCCGAGCGCTTGGCGAAGGAACAGTTGCTTCCTTTTTTGATCGACGAAGGTCAGTGGCCACCGTGATTCGAACACACGACTTTCCGATCACGGACCGAGCGCTCTACCAACTGAGCTACCGTGACGGTACCAACCGAGCAGAAGTAAATGTATCTTACATTTGTGTTGTTTTCTGTAGGTGACAGTATGTTGAACACTGGGGATCCATCACATGATCTCTCTGGGATGTACTTCTCTACCCCAGAGAGAGATAATGACAGGTTCACTAGGGGAAGCTGTGCTAGTATCTGTAAAGGAGGCTGGTGGTTTAACAACTGTTACGCCGCCTTCCTAAATGGTGTCATGTCAGGATTCTGGACCAGTCCTTGGACTCCTACAGTTAGGGTTGGGTCATCTGTAAAGGAGACGATCATGATGACTAAACGTCACTAGGTACACTCTCCATAAATTGATTATTATTTATATTTTAATATTTTAATGAAGATTTTTTTTGTTTTAATACTTTCGGGGTTAGGGGGATAATCGTTAGGTATTTGTGAAATAATTCTACCTAAGCTTTCAGTGAAATAAAACAAATGATGATTATAAAAAAAAAATACACAGAAGCTTAACAGACAAAAAAATGCTATTTAAGCTATTCCTTTGGAAGGGATATTTTTCACCCGTAGTAAAACAGACAAGACTTCTTTCTTTTTATGTATTCTAGGTTAAAATTTTTAATTACATGTATATATACTGAAGGACCCATCCCTTGTTGTCAGTACTGTAAATAGTTAAAATTAATTAAAATTCCTTTTGTTTCCATAACCATAAACGTCATAGGATACCAAAAATCTGGGAAAGGTAGTTTTTTATCATAGGTTTTTTTTTTCATAAAGATTTATAGTTAAATTCAAGTAAATTACATGTAATATTAATTTTGGTGGAATTTTGAATTTTGATTTGATTGCAATGAATTTTAGTAAAGGTATAAAAGTAAAGATTTGGGTAGTATGACAAAATAAGGATTGTTTTTTAGGGAAAGGACTATATTCGCTAATGACCAATATTTGCCCCTAAATTAAAGTTTGACGGATCTATCGTTGTTTTCAACCGGGGAAATCCACAGCCTTCAAAGCATTAAAAAATTTCATCAACCATGACGCAATACCTTAGATATGACATCAGGAAAGAGACGTAAATTCAAAATTTCTATGATTTATAGAGAAATTATGGAGCAAGTTTGCTTGTTTTTTGTTTGTATGTTGTTTAACGTCCCTCTCGAGAATTTTTCAAAAGGCTGTATGATATGTTTTATACTTGATCATGTGATCGAGTTCGGGACAATCCAGGAACGATAGAGAAAATAATATGTAATTTTTTCTTACTTTACTGAAGTAAAAGCATATGATTACATGTTTTTAAAGCGAGATAAAGAAAAGTTCACTTGTATCATTGTTTGCCACTTTTTCCTTTGATTTCAGCCATTCATTATTTCCTGATACACAACAGTTTTCTGTGATGTATCTGTGATAGATCACACCTTCTTTATGAAGAGTTCCAAGAAATAAAAAAACGTATTTATTATTTAATTACAATTTCATGTGCTTACATGACATTAAATGAACACAACAGTTATTGTAAAATTGAAAAACAATTATGAAATTTAATGCAGGAAAATTGAATCATTTTTCACTGCTCACACAGCCACTCAAGGCTTGAAATGAAACACACAATTGTTAAACACAGATCCTGGCTTGAAGATATTTGGAATCTCAGCATTTTCACTTCCGGATCCAATTTCAGGAACGCCTCTTGTTACCACACTGTCGGACACCGCCGCCGGTTTCGAATTTTCATCTCTGAGATTTTCAGACTCATTCATTTTAAGCACGGTTATTTCACCTTTCATTTTTTTCGTGTTTGGCGGATTCAAAACTTCAGAAACACGCTCTTGCAGTACTGAATTAGATCGTTTGTATTTCCTGACTGCAGTTTCTGACCTGTGACCTGTCCGAGACATTATTTCCTGCTCGTCGATCCCAGCATGATATAATTGAGTAGCACACGTCCTCTTGCCCGAGTGGTTGGTAAAGTTTCCCTCTAGTCCAGCTTTACCTGTGATTTCCTTCATTAGCCCCTTTAATTTGTTAACTCCCAGTACTTTTTCACCATATCGCACACAGACAATACCTGAGACAGCTAAAGGCCGGCGGTAAAAAGGTCCCTCATTACTAAGAGCGTCAAGATAGGTACGATATAAATCGGCAAGACATCGTTCACCTAGAAAAAAAATAAAAACGTTGAATGTTTTCTTTGTATTTAATTATTCTTTAGTTAGAATAATCTAACTGTGTCTCGGGACAAGCCCAGTTAGAATACGTCCAATATACTTGCAATGTAGCCAATCGGAGTGGATCCACTCCGAAATGATTTTGAAGAATACAAAAGGGGTTGCACTGAAAATAACTACCAAATTAATCATAACAAACCTTTTTGAGATTGTATATGCCTTTTAACCTAAAAAATAATCCATATAAATACGAAAATTCAACTTATTTTCTCAATGTTTTTTCCTCGCTTCAAATTTAACGCCATGTTGACATTCCGAACTTTCTGGATTGTTCATAGAAAATGCACAGAGTTCGAGTTATCGCCCGTGTTTATTTTGCTATTCTTTCTTTCTTTTAAACCGGGTCCCTAGGACAATATCATTTTAACGATAGAACGTTCTATCTAATTTTTCTTATCTTCATCAATTATAGAGAAGAAATATGCAACGAAAACCTGTGTAGAGTACAATTATAAAATATACTAATAGATGAACAATTTACCTTCTTGGCAGTAATGTTTCAAGTCTTTATTGGTTAGCTGCAGATGTTTCAGTCCCCCTTTGTATGTTTTAGATGATCTGCCCGTAAATCGAATAAATTTTCCTTGCTCATCTTGTCCGATTTCAAACTGGGAACACTCTAAATTTCTGTGTTCGTCAAAGGCCCTCAAACCGAATATCTTACAGTTATAGAAGAAAACTGTGTACTGTAGAGCTTGAGAAGAGTGTGACCCAAATACTCCACTAGTCCAGATTTTTTCTTCATCTTCCGGCAATATTGGATCAGCTTGTCTCACTTTGGTGCCTAGGCCCTTTGATAACAATTCCTTCATGCGCGCGTCTAAAACTTTACGGAAAACGGCAAAGCTATGGTCATGTTCATCAAGAAAATTCATATTATGAATGTTTTCCTCTCGCAAGTGACGCAGTAATCCACAAACAATGAAGTAAAGAGTACGCCGGGGATATTCACTGCCGTCCTATTTACGTACCTCCAATAAAAAGCGTTGTAACCAGTAATTCAGCATTTCTGCGTTCATTTCCTTCATCCAAGGTACATTCTCTCGAGATGCGCGCCATTTATTGAACATTTCAACACACCATTTCGTATTTTTCCGAGTATTAGGATTTGTCTGAGAGTCAATCAGCTGCCGCAAATCATCATATGATACAGCGTCAGCAAACCTTCCATTCTGTGACTCGTTAACACATTCAAGAGTTTCCATTTTCATGTCACCATCAATTTCTTCTAATGAATTCTCCCGCGAGAAAATCCCCAAGTCAAAATTTATAGTCCGATAGTCCATGTGTGTAGAATCTTCATCCCCGAGATAGGCATCAATAGAGTGTGAAATGTTTAGGTTTCCTAACTGACCTAAAGAATTTTCAATTTTTATTTCCGTTTCTACCGTATCTAAAAATTGGGATAACAAAGTATCGCAGCCGTCGTCCATGGTGTTCAAGGCAGGAAATATTCAAGAAATACAGCGCCCTATACTTTTCGAATCACGTGCTCTTTTTTCATTGGTCAAGGAAATCGTATGATGAAATTTGATAGATCAGAGCTAACTCAGTGCGTGGGAATATAGATGAATCCTGTGCTATTAACGTGATGTTGACAGATCATGGGTATAACTTAGTGCGTGAGAACAATGATACAAAACATATAGAGTACCTTTTAACTCGTGCATCTTCAGATATCAGACTCGGGGGACAAGCCCCCTCGTCTGATATCCGAAGATACACTCGTTAAAAGGTACTCTATATATTACCTACATTCATTTAATGTATATGTATAATGTATACTTTTATAACGGCATTTTTTTAATGAACAGTCATTACTGTATGCATTAATTTTTAAATTTGAATAGAATTTAGATTAACAGGTCATTTTTAGCGGTCATTATTTATAAATGACCGGGTCATTATACCTCACGTGCAATGATTCCTAGGTCATTATTGCTGTAAATGGTACTTTTTGGAGTCATTATTGAGTTTAAAAGCCTTGTAACAAGCCAATCAAATTTGAGTATTCTTAATAGAGGTATAATAAAGGAGGTTATAACGTTATTACGTTCATACAATGTTATAAAATTATCACGTACATACAAGGCTATAACATTATCACGTGCGTACAATATGACAACATGTCAATAAGATATTGTACAAATGTAATATCTTGTTTAGCAATTTTTGCATCGAATTTAAATGCTCGCATGCCGTTCACCTTATTACAGATGTGTATTTTCCTTACCTGATACATTATTTTGACAATGTAATTTTTTTTTTCTGAATGAAAACCTTCATTCTCTCTGCATCTGACTGCACAGCCATATTTTACTTACAATGCATGTATTTATCGAGTTTAAAAATTAATGAAATGTGAACAGTTTGAAGAAGGTCACACCCAACAGCGATGTCATTAGTTAGCTCAAACTTTACGTCATATTTAATTTCAATTGGTAGATCGGTAAAGGTCAATATTTTCCTTATCATTAAGAATAAAATTTTGTTGTAGCCAAACACATGATAAATACAGATAATCCTCGATACCTCCGCAGAACCAAGGAAAAACTTCTCGAGATCAAGAGTTCCGAGTTTTCGAGAGTCGGAACTGGGAACATAGTTCTTGATCGACAAAATAAAATACTTTTTAAAATCGAAAATTACCTACATTGAAGGCGTTTGTAATAAATATGAAATGACATCGCTGTAGGGTATTATCTTCTTCAAACTGTTCACGTTTGCCTTTTTAGCTCGCCTGTTCCAAAGCGCCAAGAAAGCTTACGCCATCAATTGGCGTCCGTCATCGTCATCATTCGTCGTTGTGAACGTTTCCAAAAATCTTTTTCTCTTGAATGTACTTGACATATTTTTACAGCCCACTTTCGTGAAAGGCTGGAAAATTTAATCTAATTCGTCTGTTCTTTAGACACAAAAGAGTTTAAACTTCTCATGTTCTCATATTTAAAGCTTTGCATGTATTACAAGCAGTTGTGAAGAATAAAATATTGCATATTTTGTCAAGTTTATTTATTGAAAGTTTTAATTCTAAGGTTTTATTACGTTTTGACGATAAATATTTGAAACGTGGAAAATTTTCAAAATCATATACTCCTTTTCGGAAACAATGAATGGTGTAATATCAGAAGGAGAATTGTTTATTTAACTGCCTTTTGGACTGAAAATTTACTTTCGAATAAGAACATTAATGTAAATACTTAACAATAAAATCAATATATTATCTAAAGATGTTAAATACAGTTACAATTTCCAGTTAACTATACCTAACTCAATTGTATAAAGTCATAGAATATAACTGTTCGCCACCTCGTATGCAGATCACGCCATATCTTCTCTTCAAAAAGGATCCTCGCTTTTACGCAAGTATGTAAGGCAGTACCCAGATCATTATTCGGCGAATTTACACTTTTTTGGTAAAATGTTACATTGATAAATCGGAAAAGCCATAGATAAAACATTAACTATAATTATCCTTTGTATAGACGTCAATGAGTCTTAAGCTTGAAGAAAAGCACTCCACTACGACGTCATCACGTGACGTCTATAAATAGAAAAATTACCTTAATGAAAAAACTCTACCTCGGGGATAAATCATTTCTCTTTGTAAAAATAATTATGTTAAAAAATTACTGGGCCATGAAAAGTGCTGCTAGAATCCTACTCTCCCTTCACAGAATAAAATATTCTAAAGCTTCATATGAAACCTCACCAAATTTTTAAAATTTGTACATACTATCAAGGAATTTTTATTAATTCATGGCCATAGGAACCGGGGGGGGGGGGAACGCCCCCCGAATAATTTTGCCGACATATAGATTACTATAGAAAACATAGATACTATATGCTTGTGCCCCCTCAATAAAAACGTCTGATGAGCTTTTTTTTTTTTGTTTTTTTTGCTTGTCAAGAAATTTTGGTAGTTGATAGTGCCTCCTCAACTGAAAATATATGGCTATCCCCCCCCCCCCCCCTCCAAACTGAAATTGCTTCCTACGGGCCTGTTAATTCATGTTTACCACGCGATTCTAGAAGCAGTTTTCAAGCACTGTTGAATATAAGCTTTCGATATAAACAAAAATTATGTTTCAAAGTATGCAGCGTAGTGTTGAACTTTAGCACTTTTGTTGTTAAGAATGACAGAAGAAAGGCTGATCGGGATTTCAAAACACTTCCTGTCCTCATTATAAGAAAAAAATGGGGTAGACTTGACTTTACGCTTTTAAATAACTGATTTTTTAATCGATTTTTCAAGTGATGGGTAGATAGACGTCGTAATGGTGTGTTTTTGACGTTATGAATAATCGGAGTTCTTAAAGAGGGGTCATAAATTATGCCATAAAATAAAAATTATAAAATAGATGCTCTTGAAATTTTAAACATAGGAAATTGAGAATCTCACAATCACTTTCATTATTTTTCATATAAATCTGTGGTATTTGTCATGTTTTGTAGTGCTCCATAAAAACAGGAAAATATCATGAATTTTGATATTTTGAGATGCCCCCTCTGGAAACCAGACGGTAGAATTTAGTGTTTCTTGCATAAAATGTACAATATAGTATTACTCATCAAATATTATAATTTGAGCAAAAAGTCTATAGTAGCATTTGTATAATTTGCTCCAAAGTGCCAAAAAATAGTATTTTCCTATATAATCCTATAGTAAATGTGACTGTATTTTGAGATGGTCCCTTAAAAGTAACCAGACGGTAGATTTTCACTAAACTTGGCATGTATACTGAAGTCAATGTAAGGTACATATAGTATAAAATTAAAGAGTTTCTCTATAGTAGTTTTCACACACTAAAACCCCAGTCGGCTCCCTTAAATACAGATATTAAAAATTCATTATCTCTAAAGTTCACGTCATACAGCTTACTAATGACATGATGTATAGGCAAGTAGAATATCTGGGTGTAACCTTAACATACCCGTGAAGTGAACAAATTATTTCCCTTCGTGGTTTGTTAAGGTGTAAAGCTACTAAATTGATGACGTGTTCACACAGATTTTTTGGTCGACTCTCAAAATATCAAAAAACAAAACAAACCAAAACAAAAAAAAAAACAAAAAAAAAAACAAAAAAAAAAAAAAAACAACAACCAAAAAACAACAACAACAAACAACAAAAACCATTGTATTGAAATGGGTCGGAAAGGACAGGGGCTAAGAAAAGTCATGAATTCTTACAAAGTGAACACAAATGTTTCATATTTATCAAGAACTTTAGAATACCTACATCTACGGTGAGAAGTGTAATTACGAAATTTGAATATGTTGAAAATCATCTAGAAAGAAACTAGATGTCTTTATTCACGGTCAGGGAAGACCATTTTATTCTGAAAGGGGGGGAGGCTGGTAAATTTTTTCGTGTCAGATTTTTTGTTTTCATTCCAATCAAGGACAGATAATTAATTTCCAAAATGATCAAGGACAGCTTATTTATTTCTTCCTTAAAAAGCCTGTCAAGCAAAAAAGAGGGGTATAACGTCCAAACTTCAGAACTCTTTCGTGTGTTGGGGGGAGGGGGTATAACATCCAAACTTCAGAACTCTTTCGTGTGTGTTGGGGGAGGGGGTATAACATCCAAACTTCAGAACTCTTTCGTGTGTGTTGGGGGAGGGGGTAGCACCAGTCAAGGATTATTCATTTTCTTGCCATTGTTCATTTTCGAGGATAGAATATTTATTTCTGAAATCTGCCCCCTTTAAGAAATAAGTGAACGTCCCGTAAGAACTTCCTTGGATTATTAAAGAAAACCGAAGGGGAACTTAAGAAGATATAACCGGCTAATAAATGAAAATAGGGGTATTTAATTTTGTTCATAAAACATCGACAAAAAAGAGAAAAATGCGAAAAAGGGGATATGTAGTCCAAAAGTTTAGAAGTGTTAGGGGAGCAAAGAGTGGACAGTTCTGGAATTAAGACTGGTATAAATGGATATTCAGCAATGAGAGCCAGGTTATTATTGGGGATAGCAACAAAAAAAAAAAAAGGATAAAAACTTCCATGCTCTACGACGAAAGTCACGTTCTATATTCAGGGGTTGAATATGTTTTTAAGGTCAGACAACACATTCCTCGATAATGTATAATTGTTATTGAAGTTTTGCTACTTTAACATGTTTCCTCACAGAAAATTGAGCTATTTTACCAGGGCATTTGTGCAAGATACTAGAAGGCAATGTTTCCTATATAACAGTATTTGAAATTATCTGAATTGTCAATATCACAATTTTTGTTGTACATGTATTTATTTTCTAAGACATTTCGAAAACAGTTTAGAAATCACAAGATAATGTAAATATTATGAATATTTTTATACATTACGAAGAGAAAGAAAACAGATATTTGAGGAACGTGTCGTCAGACCTTTAGTGTAAGCACACTAACTGATGTTCAAGGTAAGGTCAATGCTCAAAAATACATAC